GGGGCGGGGCGGGCGCGGCGCCTCACGGGCCAGTGCCCTCCCTCAGACCCGCAGCAAGGCTCGCCGAGGTGCCTGCCGTGCCTTTTGTTTGCCTTTTTTTGGTCAAAATGCTGATAGTCCTGCTCCATGCACGGTTTGAGATAGGTTGTGGCCTCCCTCAGAGCCCTTCCTGCGCTGCTTCCCTGCGCACCTCGTGCACAGGTCGCTACACTTACCCTGATACATTATATTTTTTTCTCTTTTTTTTTTCTATCTTAGTGAATACTTCTGAAGCTCATCAAGAGTATTTAGCATTACCAATGTGTACGGTGGTTCCACATGTGGGCTTTCCCATGTTGATGTCATTTGCTCATCAGTTACTGAGGGTATTAATGTTCTCCAGGTCTTATCAGAGCTCAGCAGAAACACCTTAAATGCATCTTGGCATCCATTTTGATAGTGAAAGTTGTTGCTAACTTTGCCTCCTTAAAGATCTGTGTCCAGCATTGTACCAATCCCGCAGTGTTTCTAGCAAAGCTGGTTTGCTCTTGAGCTACCCAGGAGAAACCTTTTCAAAGGTCTGCTAGCTCCAAGATACATGACATTTGCTTTCTCTGAGTTCACTAGACTAGCTAACTCAAAAGATCTGAAGGAAGTTCATGTAATCAGGATTACATGATAATCCTATATTAGGATACAGGATGGCTGGGGTTGGAGGGGACCTTAAAACTCATTCATGGGCAGGGACATCTTCCTCTATCCCAGTTTTCTCCAAGCTCCATTCAGCCTGGCCTTGCACACTTCCACAGGAATTGGGCAGCCACAGCTTCTCTGGGCAACCTGTGCCAGGGTCTCCCCACCTTCACAAGGAAGAATTTATTCCTTTTATCTAATCTAAACCTATTCTCTTTCAGTATGAAGTCATTCCCCCTTGTGCTCTCATTATGTGCCCTTGTAAACTGTCTCTCCATCTTTCTGACAGGCTCCCTTTAGGCACTGGAAAGCTACGATTTTGTCACAATGAAGCCAAGGTATACCCATTTGGCACTGTTCTTGATGGAACACTGTTAAGGTTTGCTGTTCTCATCTTTTCTGCATATTAACCTTTCTTTCTCTCCTCCCTCTGGAGATGGAGGTTAAGTTTACTAGTTTGTGAATTTTTGTCTGGTTTTCCCTACTAAATTTTCCCTGAGCTGTTTCTGTCTCTTCCATTCAGTTTCCACATGCTGGTGAAAAGAACTTTTAAAGGCTCTAAGTTTTGCACAATGTTTGGTGAAGTTAAGCAAAGCAGTCTGAAAATGTGAAACTTTCACAGGTGCTCTTGAACTTGTTCTTTCTCTACCAAGATCTAATTTCAGGAAATAACTGAAATTGTAGAATCATTCTGGAGAAAAGATTTATGCCATTCAACATAGCAAACACTTGACCTTTTCCCAGAATAATTTCAGCTTGCTATGAATAGACAGCTATTATTTTCATTGATTTGCCTTTTATCGATACTACATTCACAGAATAAATTCCTATTCTCAATGTCTGTTCCTTTCTGTGCATCCAGTGACTCATTTGCTCCCTGAGAATTGACCCATGTGCATGCAGCTCATTTCTATTTCCTGGCCATTTCCATCTTCATTTCATCTATATGAAGAGATCTTAATTTAGCTAAAGGGATCTCTTACTACCTTTTGTCATTAACAAATCTTATTTTCTCTTGTGCTTGTGCATAGACACAGAAACCAGAGTTTGTTTTCTAGAGCAGAATATCTACTTGCCCCAGTTTATAGGTAATAAGACACAATATATTAGCATTCTGTGCAGTTCAGCATCATTTTGCTCTGTGTCCGTGCAGCTGTAGCCGGGGAGCTGCTGACGGGATTTAAAACTATGTATCTTTTTCACTCCTTGCAGTTCTGGTTTATCCCCACTGAGTGGCATCTGTTCCATTTCTAGGCAGCGAAAAATACTCAGGCTATCTTGTACGTGATCATAGAAGGAGAGGGAGGGAAATGAAAAAATGGCAGTGACCACAAGAAACCTACAGTGATGCAAAAAAAAAAGTCACAACTTGGGCCAGCAGCATCTGCCGTGCAACCACCACCGTGCCTGCAATTTGTGTAGATGTACCCAAATTCTTGAACATGCCTTTAACGTATCGCATGAGTGATACCTCTAGTGATGATGTTTTGCAGCAGATCAGCAACACCTGTCTGAACTTTAAATCTTTAGTCAGGTCCTCAAATGCATAATACTGCACTGTCACTGCACCTGAGGTGTTGCTCTCCAAAGCAGAGTTGTGCTGGTTTGGGCTGGGGTAAAGTTCATTTCCTTTCCAGGGCTGGTGTGGGGCTGTGTTTTGGATTTGTGCTGAACTCAGGGGAGATGGTACAGAGATATTTTTATTATTGCTGAGCAGGGATTGCACAGAGCCAAGGCCTTTGCTGCTCCTCATGCTGAGGAGAACCAGCCTGGACAGGTGACCCCAGCTGGCCCCAGGGGTGTTCCAGACCATGTGACATCATGCTCAGTGTATCAAGTGGAGGGAAAAAGGAATGGGGGGGACATTTGGAATGATACCATTTGTCCTCCCAAGTCACTATTCTGTCTGATGGGACCCTGCTCTGTTGGGAATGGTTGAACACCAACCATGTGAAGCAGGGAATTCATTCCTCATTTTGTTTTGATTGTGTGAGCAGTTTTTGTTTTCCCTGTTAAACTATTGTTATCCCAGTCTGTGAACTTTAACCCTTCCAGTTCTCTCTCCAGTCCCACTGGTGGGAGAGTGAGAGAGTGGCTGCATGGGGCTGGGCTGGTGGCTGGGGTTAAACAACACAGAGGTAGCCGGTGTGGAGATGTATCTCATAGCACTGAGATGTGAAAGCATGTTAACCACTGCAGTTAAACAAGAAAGATGTTTTGGTGAGTTTTCTACCTCCAGCTCCAGCAGGAAATAAGAGCAGCAGTTTCTCTAAATTTGCTGGTAACCAGGGAGAGATTCCTGCGTATTCAAAGTGGCATCTTAGCAGAGCAGAGAACAGAGAAAGCCACCAGAGAGAAATCAGACCACAGAACACAGTCTGTGTAATAAAAGTAGAGTAACAAATAAGAAAACTTAAAATTTGATCAATTTTCCAGCTGTCCTGGATATCTCAGCAATAATTTAAAGACAGCAGGGGATAAAACACCTGCAATAATCCTGTTCATCCTTGAGCCAAGTATACACTTGCTGAGAGAACTGACAGTGTGAGCTGATGGTATCAGTGTGTAAGCTAGGTACACTTGTCTCTGTGTGAGTGTGTGAAACAATTTTTTGTGTTTTGCTGATTTTAACTGGAGGAACAGATGCCCCTTTCTTCATTTATTGGGAGCAGGCTAATAATGAGACCCGAGCAGCACACACTGTGCATGTAAGAATTTTAAAGATGGACTGCTGTGTTGGATGAGTGGAAAGCTCAACCTGAAGTCAAAGCACAAGCCTGAACTGACTCTCTTGCCCAAGGAATGTTATCCTGACCTTAAAAAACCCAACTGTAAACACCTGCCGAAGAGTTACCCAACCTGCACATTCTCCAGAATACTTTTCAGCAGGATTATGCTAATTCTGTGTTTGGAAAAAAAGTTCTGTGTATTTAGGATGGAAGTATAGCTGGTGAAGTTGCTGCTTAATGTAGGACATGCTTATTTAGTGTTTTATTTTGTAATGTCTATTGGAGTCCTACAGGCAGTGGCCTGGAATTCAAAAATGGTGCCTTAGGGGAAAAAAAGGAGGACAACTTCTTTAGTATATTTCATCAGTATGCATCAAAACTCCTACTTTTCTTTTCCAAATCAGGAAATTAGAAATAATCTCTTTCTATGCATTAGCAGTTTAAGTTGTTTTTTTTATCTCAGACTCAATTCTGTGCATCAAAATCCAGTCAGGTGAAAATAGTTTTGTCACAATATGGAAATGGACATTTCTACTTTCTGTTCTCATCCTGCCGTGTTTGTGATTTGTAGCCATGTGTGACACTGCTGTCTTCTTCCAAACAAATTCTTGCTCTGCTCCACAGTTTTCTGCCTTGTTTTCTTGTTTTCCAACAGTCTTTTATCTCCATCAAGCTGCTTACTTTGATCTTCTAGAACATTTTCCTCTGTTTCCTCTCTCACCAGCACCATATATTCATCAAACCTGCATATTTCTTTTAGTAACATTCACCACAGCTTGCCTGATTCTCTTGTTTTCTCCATGCCATCATCAGCATTTATTTGTGGCCCAGTACACCTGTCAGACTCTGAGAATCTGATTATTCATTCCACTTTTGCCACCTTATTTGTGCATGCCTTCAGTCAATACCCATATACTCAGGCCCCACCTTTACCTTTTCTCACCTTCCAGCTTCATGACTCCAGTTACCCTCCTTTTCCAGTTTTCCTACAGAAGGTATGGTCCTGTCTCCTTTCAGATTTTCTGAAAAAAAATTAAGAAAATAAAACATTGGAAATTCAGACAGCAAACTTTCTTCTAACACAACATTGCTCTGTTGTTTGGGTTTTTTTTCCTTCCATGCTGGTTAGTGCCAATCTAAATTGCAAAGTGCAGAAATAATGGCTTTTTTAAACTGAGGAGCAGTGTTGTTTGACTTACATCCACCTCAGATCCATCCTCCCTCATGCCAGATTAGATTTTCATAACCATTTAAGCATCCATTTAAGTTTTCTCTTACAGCCTTTGAAGCAGCAGCACTGTTTTCATTCCTAGGTGAAGCCTAGGACTGTAGCAGCTGTAGCCAGTTCTGCTGGCTCTATCCAAGAGTTCCCTGGTGTCTACCCTTAGGTCATGGATACACAAGTAGGCAAAAGTGTGTGCTTCAGGCCATGGATGTATACAAAAGCAGTTTATATGTCTTTAAAATAAATAGTCCAGTATTTTGTATCTTTGTTGCAGTAGTAAACTCAGTCATGATTTCACATGGAGTTGAATTTAGATTAACAAAAGTGAGGATCTTGGCTGCTATGCCTCTCCTTAGCATATCTCATTCCTTAACAGCATTCTTTTTGAAAGGAGTGGATTTTGACTTCTATTACCTTGTTTATCTCTCTACTGCATCATTAGATATATCTCTTACTGATTTGTTGATGGGACTGAGACAAGCTGCAACCGCCTGTTGATCCAACCAAGGTTCAAAGGATTCCTTTCCCCGCTGTTGTGACTTCCCATCAGCAATGGCATCAGCTGGAGTGCAGTACTGTCACTATCCTGTAATATCCCCTGGGTGAGCTTTTATTGATTGTATTGACTTGTGGTTCAGCTCCAGCAAACACTGAGCAGCCTCCCTGTCCACTCAGTAGGTACATGACTCTCAGGACTGGGTGCTCAATACACCTACTGTGCCTTTCATCACTGCATGTGATGCAACAGCTGTGGGCCTGCTTCATCCAGCTGCTCAGGATTTTCTTTTCCTGCAAAAACACATGTCAATAATAGTCACTGCTAGCTAGTTTCAAGGCTGTAATCAATCACAGCTGTCAATATATTCTTCACATATTCTCATTACATATTAACATCATATGTCACAATATTACTTAATAGTTTCAAATGAGGTCAAAGCCCACTGCATTAAACTCTCTCTCTATATATATATATACACACATATACAGCAAAATAATTGCTTATTGTAATTCACTATCTCTATTAAAAAAAGGTAGGAAAAGCAGTAATCTGGGGCAGGTCATCCCTCAGGTCAAGAGAAAGACAAGGAGACAGAACAAGATTTTCTCCTCAAGATTATGCTGCTTACTGTATTTATATACTTTGTCAAATCCTTGCCAGTCTGGTCTCACCCAAGAGCTGCTGTGGATGGGAAGAAAAGGATACAGGAAGGCCTCAAACAGTACAAATGACCAGGGCTCAAACTACTCCCATGCAGTAAGGTCCTGCATTCGCTGGCTTTTCTGTGTTACATATATCAGTAAAAGCCCAGATCTTTAAAGTTCATTAGATATCAGTGGATTTTAAGTGTTCCAAGAGCTCCAGGCATCTAGCATTCAGGGAGTGTAGGATCTGGGATTGCTGAGTGTCTCAGATTTAAAGTTGTTTTTTAATCAGATCTATTTATATGAAATGTTACACAGCTCATACTGTTTGGTTTGGATCACATCTGATAAGCTTCCCTGCTTCCCAGGGAAAAGAGAGAAAAGCAAGGCACGTTTCCATGCATACAGTGAACACAGATGCTTCCAACATCTGACAATTTCAAAATACTCTTTATACTTGAATTTAACCCGCTAATCTTACATTTCTGGTACCTTTTTTTCTGCTGCTTTGCTGAGTTGCTCCATTTACAGTGTTATTTAGAGCTAATTTTATTAAGTACTGATACATGCCTTGTGAGGCACTGCACATGCAGCAAATGAGATCTCAAATAAAGAAGAGCAATGCTGGCGAGATACTGCAAAATGTTGCCCTATCAGGTAATCTTCATGTAATACCCTAATGCAAATGCAACTGAACCCAAGACTAGACCTGAGATGGCAGCTTCAGGGTAGTCATTTTACCTCTTCCATTATCTTTCATAAAATGGTGTCCAGAGGCATTCTTCTTAGAGGTGCAGGACTGAACAAACAGTCTGTTCTGCATGAGAAAGAGGAGCTGTCCTATTTCAGGCAGAGTGCAGAGCTATTCTCTTCCTTCTCTCTCCCATTTTCCCTTGTAATAACAAAGGATATGTGGAGATACTTGACTGGGCACAGTTCTGGGCAAACAACTCTAGGTGATATGGCTTGAGCAGAAGGCCTAGACTGGATGATGTCGGGGGGTCTCTGCCAATGCAAACAGTTTTGGGGTTGCTTTAATCTTGATTTTTTTTTTCCATACCCTTTATATATTCTTTTCTCAGGGTTGTTTCCTGGCCAGTTCCAGCTGCAGCAAAGATGATGTAAAATCAAACTGGGATTCAGTTAGCTCCTGCAGAGGAAAAAGCCCAAGCTATGAGTTATGAGCTTGTGTCTGCAAAGTCACTGCCCATTATTCAATAAATTTCGAGTGCATTGTCAGTCTAATTGGACAGATGAGGATGTGTGTGCTCAGAAACTGTCTAATGCCATAGCTACCATCTGACAAACAATTTGTGGACCGTACTTCAACTACTACTTCTGGGAAGGATTAGTTAAGGAGGGAAAAAAAAAAAAAAAAAGCAACATTCAACAGCAGACAGACTTCTCATTGTGCCCCTTCATTGTATATTCTCCATGTTCCCTTTTCTGCTCAGTGGTGCAGGCCAGTTTGGGACACTCTAAATTGTCAAGAGCAGCAAGGGGTTACCCGGAGTGTGCTTTGTTTGGCAATACAGACGGCGTTTTTTGTTAACTGACTTGAACCCATTGTCTGTGCACCCCCCTCCCAAACCTCTCTCCTGCCCTCACCACCCTTATCCCCAGTCCAGCTCACCCTTCGCAGATCCCCTTACTTTGGGTTCATGAAGTACAAATTAGCATAATCAGATTATCTGCATGGGGTTGTTCAGCACGGAGCTGAAAGGGAAGAAAAGAAAAAGTGGCTCACAAAGAGAAGCCCTGAGGAGGGCAGAGCGGGTGGCATTGCTGTTGTGCTGTGGTGCTGAAAACTTGCACCTGCATAGCAAGCAGATCCTCTTCTCACTAAGGACTCTTAGATGGTATTAAAGCATAGGAATTACTTGGGGGGAGGATAAGGACACTGAAAGGATGACAGGATAGCTGGGATGGAGAGGGGAGCGGAGCAGAGCGGAGAGGATCTCCTCTGACTCAGAAAAACAGTTTGATTTCTATTCATCATGGAGAGGAGATCATCTTGGTAATCTGGCCTATCAAGATAAGACTTTTAGAGTTTCTGCAGGAGACTGATAAGAAGTGGTAGGGAAAAAAAAACATCTGTCTAGGGGCAGGCTATGTGTCTGTTGTGGGGGGAGGTCTATTCCTGGGTATTTTCTGTAGTGGACTTGCCTTGCTAAGAGTAGTAAACAATCTGCTTGATTGTCATAGTGCCTGCCCTAATTCTCTTCTTTCTGCCCATGCTGGGAGATGAATGCCCCCAGAGGACTCAAGACTCAAATTGGTAGCCACAGGTTTTAAAAGCAGCTGGGGGCTTTATATGCCTGTGTACTCAGGAACATGGGATTAAATTACTTGAAGGTTCCTGTTTTTAAAAGTATCTTCAGGCTGCTTCTACTACCAGCTCTTACAGCTGAATTGTCTGACCAGTCACCCTTGTCTTTCTGATGTATCTTAAAAGCACATATGGACAGAGATTACAAGAAAAACACCCCAAAAAGCAATCATGGCAACCCTAAAATGTTTCAAGTTGAGCCCTTGAGATCAAGAGTCTTATGGACAGCCCCAGCCCTAGAATTTTTCAGTGCTTCAGAGAGTCAGGATAAAAGGAAACATGAATGTCAGGGTAAGTCAAGCTTTGAGGCAGTATTTATGACAAGCTCCTGCCTAACTTAAACCTCCAGTTTTCAAGAAGTGCTGTCTTTGGTTTGATTTATCTTAACAACACCACACAGAGAGCTGCTGGAAATATTTAACTGACTAAGTTGTGATAAATAGCAGATAAATTTTTTTTTTTTTAAACTATTATCTTAGCAGCATTTTCAATTCTTTGAATTTAAAAATTTTACTTTAGCAACTTACAGCTCTACTGTTGAGGGAAATAAAAAACATATTTGATAATCAGAAACACGTAATCAGTGTATGTCTGTTTTGATTCAGGAGCCTTTTGACAAATATTTGAGATTAATAGGAGCTACTACATCAGAATTACTGAACTGGCAGTTTGATTTACTTGTTAGGTATAAGAGAAACAAGGTGATGTTACTCTGTTTTCTGCAGATGACATATATTGGAGTCATAGAAAAGAAGTCTGTGTCCCTACAACAAGTGTAGTGTCTATCCAGGTTATGTCAGGCATGGTTAATTCATCCTCCATGCTTTCACTGGCAATCTGTCTTGTTTCCATTTTTTTCACTTAAATTATTCTTTAGTCTGAAAGTAAAATTATTTTGATTATGTAGGCAAAGTTTGTGTGGTTTTGTTTGCAAACACTTAAATGGATTTTAAGGAGATGATAAAGGTAATATAGATCAATAGATAATAGAAAGATATATAGACAGACATGTCTGTTTTCCTTGTATTTTCTGTATCTGCTCAGCTATTCCATTCAAAATTGACAGGTAAAATTATGCTGCTGAAGCTACCTGCCATGACTTTCTCACTTCTAAACCAGAGAGCTGAGGAACACCTGTTTGCATTCCACATGTCTATGCAGAAATGTGGCCTTTGAGATTGGGCTGTCCTGTGCCAAGCACAGTGGCTGGGCATGTTCACCAGACAGCAGCTGGCTGCTCTTCTGTGCCTGAAAATTTGGGAAAAATGTTTGCAGCACAGCTCAGGAGGAAGAGCCAAAGCAGGCAGCTCGCTTCAGTATTGAGTTATTTCAGTTGCCTTTCAAGTGGTGGGAATATTTCCCACCCAAGCAGGCTGTGCCAGCACCAAGTGCTCTTGGCAAATCCTATCTGCCAGTCTCCCTCTCTGTAGAGAACTCTCAACTGGCAGCTGACTTTTTGCCATACAGCCCCACAGAGATCACTGCAAAGCCTCTCAGCAGGACCAGATTCTTCCTTCTGAAATACCTTTTAACCTACAGGCAGTAAAATATTTCAGATCACGGTCAACTGGTCAGAGATCCTGTGGTTAACTAGGTCTGATAGCCTTCACTCAAGGTGCTTTTAGGCACTGCAGTTTCCTCTTGAGAGTTCAGGTATTTCCAGTAAGTCTAAAGCTTTTTAAAGCTGGAATTTAGCCCTGTGAAGTCTTGAGCTGAGGGAATCCATGGGTTTCATTCTGGTTGGTTGTAAATCAATGTGTCAAAGCACAGCAATTCTGCTGTGATCTGAAGGCAGGGTTAATATTGTCTGCTCTCAGCCTTTCTCAGCTCCAGGACTGAGCAGTGCTGTCTGCCAGGGTTTGCCAAATGCAGTCACCAAGAGAAAATCAATGCTAATCAATGTCTACAGACAGGGCTGGAAGCTGAACACCTCCCTGGAGTCTTACTGACTGCAGCCTGTCATCCTTTAGCTTTTCATTAAGGTTTTAGGCTACCTAAGAGCCTGTCTTTCAAGGTGTAGAGCAGGGAATTTCACAGAAAGTGAGGGACCTTCCCCAGCTCTAAGGTACTGTGCCCCAGACATCTGCAGAGAGGTGTATGCAGGGAAACCTCTGCTGCTCTGTGCTTGTGAGTACCTCTCATTGCATGCCAACATAAAAGTGAGAGACTTCATCTGAATCCACAGAAGTCTCACTGACTTCTTCCTGCCCTTCAACCTGAACATCTTGCTGTTTTGTGACATTGACACTGAGCGGGACAGATGTACTGGCTGCTCTTTGCCTCTCTTTCTGGCTCTCAGTGCTGAGGTGTCTCTTCTCCAAAAGGAGTTTGTCACAGGGTCCTCTCTTGTGCTCTGCTGGGTTTGCAATCCAAGGCAGCAAAACAAACTGTAGAGGGGTGGGATGTGTGTTTGTGTGCACATACAGAAAGGGAGTGGAGTGAGAATACAATGGGATGACGCTCTGTTCCTTACAGAGTGGAGCTGGACCAAGTCAGTGCAAAGAAAATGCTGTCCATGGCTTACAGAGGGAACAAAAGTGAATAAATTCAACCAAATATAGGTATTGACTGGACACAGGGCAGTCTCTACCTTCAGTAACCCAAGTACTTTTTTGAGTTGTTTCTTCCACCTACCTTCTCCCCTCTGATCCTCTCAGCACCTGCTGTATTAAAAATACAATTACACCCTTGAAAAGTGGTGGATTTAGACTCTGTCACTGTGTCACTGACCTTTAGTGACCCCTGCCCCACAGGTCAGTAGTTAAGTCGTCCATTCTCTCCACCTCCTTTCATCACCCAGCCTTCAAAGAACAAAGCCAGATCTGCCTTGCTCACGCTATTTTAGCCATGGTCATTGCATAGCATTCCCTAGCAGCAAAGAAATTTGTGGGAACTGGTTACATACTGGAAGATAAGTTGCTAAATGGTTCATGAATCATATGCCTGTGAAACACGTTAGTGCTGCACCTTTACTTTTTGTTTAGAATCAGGTGCTAGGATAGATCTTAGTGTCCTAAAACAACTCCGCTTTGCCATTTAATGTGGCTGTCTCAGGAATCCTGCGAGGCCCACTCTGTGATGCTCATTGTACCTTCCTCCCCCCTGATTTAGACAAGATACAGCAAACAAGGCTGCCAAGTACACGCCTCACCACAAAGTCTTTCTCAGCGTGGTCAATGCTCCTGAAACCACGAGGCACCACACTTGTGGGACCTCACTGTGCATTGTCCAGTGCCAGGCACAGCATGTTCACATCCCTCAGGATCTGAATCCACAGAATCTCTAGCCAAAACCCAGACTGAAGACCTGCCCTTCCTCTAACCACAGGCTGGCCATCACTGGGATTCGTACACAAGACTACAACATCCTTTCAAGATACATTTGCAACTTACTCCTTCCCTTACCCAGCCTAAATATCCAACTTCAATCATATTCCACAGCCATGATGGGGATATTGAGAAAGTGGACGTGATGGGTGTCAGTTCCCTTAGGCTCTCTGACAGGTGAACAGTGGCAGAACTTCTTTCCTGCCTCTGGAAAAAGTAATCCTCATTTGAGCTGAAATGTGAAGCTGTATTCTTCCACTGATCCTGTTAGAAATTTCAAGTAAAGTGAAAAAACCTCAGTGTCTCACCAGGAGATACCAAGGATGCTTCTAGAAAATGCCACCTTAGCTGGTCTTCCTTGCAATATTGACAGCCACAGCTTCACAGAAAAAAAAAAAGAAAAAAAAAAAAAAGAAAAGCTGTTTGTACAACCCAACTCAGCACTGCTAGTTACAACTAGGGCACATAGGGTCCTTGGGACTAGGGATATTTTTGTCATTTGTACTAAGGTTTTGCCACTGCAACAACATATCTGAGAATCTTCAGCCAGCTCCAAAAAACTTGATACATCTCTGTGGCACAGGTCCATTATCTGACAGCACTGTAGTGGCATGGCTGTACCATGCTCACTTCCAAAGGAGGGATTGCCACGTGATTCTCAGCATACAAACTAGTTTGGCATCACCTCCTGGAAGCAGAGGGCTCTCTCTAATGTGACATTGTCTTGCTTAGTATAAATACATGCTGGACATCACACATAAATGCACTTCAAACTGCACATTTGCTGATTTCATGAATTTTGTATATTATTCATTGAGACTATGCTTTCCTGACACACATTCTGTGAAGGAATTGCTCTCTTGGTGTCCATAGAACACTCTCAGGGATGTGAGACATCTAGTCAAGCATGAAACTGAAACTGTCCCTGTGATCCAGTGATTTCCCATTTCTTCCTCACAACTTCTGCATCTGTCACCCTGGTGCCTGCTCCCCCTCTCCCAGCCTCAGATTCAGTTGGGGATTGGATTGTTGTCACCAGATGTTAGCCAGAAAGAACAGCTTTATATCCTAAGCTCCACTCAGTTTTGAATTAATTTTTATCTGAACCTGGACTCCTGTTTGAATCTTTAGGTTGTGCCTATCTGAACATCTCCAGATAACAGTGGACTCCAAATTAATTCTTTAGAGTGTCTTATGCTTTGTAAAATGAAGTTGATTAAAATCTTTTGAATTGTGAATGTTTGGAATGTTGCACAATGGTATTTTAGTTATTCGTCATTTTCAAGAGCCAGTCAAAATCTTTTTAGCCCATAGATGGAAGTACAATATGAACTAAAAGTGTAAGAAATTGTACAAAGAGTTCCTGTCATAATTCATCATTTGATAATGTTGTTTCTACCACCAGGATTCTTGCATAAGAGACAGGAGAAGAATCCTCTGCTGGAAGTTTCATCCTAAGGTCTTTGGGATCCTCTACCAAGTGGTATGCAAATGTAAAATGAAATTTTAGAGAAGTTTAGAGCAACGAAGATTAGTTTCTTAAATAATTTATTTGGAATATATTAGGTGTTAAATAACATCATATAGCACACAATGTTATCAGTTGCACCGTATTTGTTCATGATGACACAGATAAGAAATCCCCAAAACACCAAGAAGAAACTTGACCAAAAAAAGAAGTCTTTGGTAGAGAGATCTAGGGAAATACTTGCTGGATGTGACAGTAGGAAGCCCCTAAGCTGAAAGGAGATCAAAGAAAACAGTGATACCCAAAGCAATAACAAGAAGGGAAGATTTTTAGCCTAGAAAATACAACAAGCACGTTATGTTACAAAATTGCCAGTTTTTCTTTCCTCTTCCCAACGTGACAGCTGCTCACAAGATGTTTTTCCTCAATGCCTTGGTGGTGTGTGTTTCCTAGGACAGCAAGTGACTGATAGACCCAGCAGCACCACCACGCCTCAGCAGGAGTGCTGTGATTTTACTTGGACTAATTTGTCCTGCTGCAAGTCCAGCAAGCTGCAGGAGAGCTGGGAGGAGGATGTAGCTCATTATCTTTGAGGTGCCATTCAGAGGGGGCTGTGGCCCCATTTAGTCACATTAAGGTGGGCAGAGGTGGGGAGAAATGTACCGTGCAAAGGACTCTTGCCTTTCCACTCAGCTGCTCCCCAGGGCAGTCCTGATAGCTCACAAACCCAGGGATAAGCAAACTATTAGCAGTGTTCAGAATGGAAAACAAATCAACATGAACCCTTTCAGGTTCTTCTATTCTTATTTTCTTTCTTTCTTTTGGTCAAAATCTGTCCACTGGCATGCCTGTACCTTACAGCACCAGCGCTGGACGGGCTGAGCTGTGCTCATGTCAGACCTTGGCTTTTGCCAATGCTGAGGACAGCTCAACATTCCCATAGCAGGAGCCAGCCCTGGCTTCTTTGGTGCACCTGGTGCTTGGTGAGACTTTGAAAGGCAGCTCAGCTTCAGGTGCCAAATCCCCTCATGCAGAAAGGCTGTACATGCAGCATGCACAAACCCTAGTTCTGCTTTCTGAAAGCACCTCTTTGTCTCATGAACAAACAGAAACAGCCCAGGGACATGCCTTGGCTTACTAGAGCTAATTTTCTTTACCAGTCAGGAGCAATTGTTTTTCTAAGCCTTGACATGTACCTTGGTCCACATGGAAATCAAGAGGCACTTGTGTCAGTGGGAGCAGGATCTCACCAGAAAGCCACTCTGCTTAAACCTGGTGGCATTTTCTCTGCTGTTTTGGGCTGCTTGTAACATAAGCAGACCAGGCCTTGGCTGGCATGGGTTACAACTCAGTCAGGAAATTAAACTGGATTTTTTTGTGGGCAACAATAACCTACCTAGTGGCCACTTTCATGAAACCTCTTTTCATGCAGCTTTTACAGTGTGATGATTGGCACTTTTCCTATAGAGAAATGACTCACAAATGGAAGATATTTACACCAGTTTCTTTGTCCTTGCTTCACTGGCCCGTTTGGGATAGTGTCCAGGTGGGAGAATCTCAGCTAGAGCAGGTGGAAGCAGGGAGTTTCAGGGCAGTCAGTGAGGTATACATGCATAACCAGAGACTTAGTTTTGTCCATAAAGGTTTCCATAGCGCATCACTGAGGCCTTTGTCCTGGGACCTCCCTCCCAAAGAGGACCTCCCCCATTGCTACAGCTCCTACAGAAGAACAAAGTCATTGAGTCAACAACCTCTTTGATGCACTTTTAAGGCAGCTGGGGCATAGTTGACCATCTTCCTTCATGTGCATGCTGCTATGGAGGAGATTTATTTTGCCTATTGAACCCTCTGAAACTCATCTATGACTATGTATTTTTGTCATTTTAAATTGTCACTTTTTGCTTTAACCTAACATTTAGTCTTGTTTAATGTGCTTTGCTCTGACGTAAGGGATCCCTCCAGTCTGATGAAGAAAGATGTAGCCAGGTTCAAGGGCTAGGACTTACTTTTTAAAAAAAAATAAATAATCAAGCTAGAAATAAGATCCACAAGTTCAAGAGTTAGTGCAATTAGTCCCTAGAACAACTCATGGAGGTCTGTGTCAAATATCACCTATCTCAAAATCTTTCACTACCGAGGCCAGATGTTTGCTGTGGACAAATCTTGTGGTGCTGTCATAATTCATCATCTCAATAGTGTTTCCTTGAAATAGCATGGGAAAATAATCTCTTTCCCTGTCAGAAGCACTGAAGGAATTTCTGTGCCCTGATTTATGGAGGAGATCTGGGCAGAAGATTCTTCTGGCTTGGACTCTGCCATGACAGCAGTGAGTCCTTCCAAACTCCCAGAGACCTCAAGTTCTCTGTCTTGACTTCCAGGTTTTTGCACGACCAAGGATTTCCTATCCTATTAAATAAAAATGAAAATTAAATAGCAATAAATATAAATAAATAATCACAATACATGGAAGAGCAACCCACAGATTATGCCAGGAAAAAAGGGACTATCACACTAACACAGAGACTGCACATCTCATTGTCTGCTAGGGAGATGATGCCTCTGACCAACACTCCGCTATATTGCTGCTCATGCCGGGACAGGAGACACCACAGTTTTCAATCAGTGTCAGCTCTTCCATGCTCTGCAAGTGTGGGGCTTGCTGGAAGAATCCCAGGATGCTGCCCCGAGCTGCCACTGCTGTCTGCTGCAGGCCTGGCTCTCCCAGGACCTTGACAAGGAAGTTGATGTATCTCATGGCCAACCGGAGTGTCTCGTTCTTGCTCAGTTTTTTGTCTGGTGGGTGGGTGGGAATAAGCTTCCTCAGCTTGGCAAAGGCACTGTTGACATTTTGCTGCCTCCACCTCTCCCTGGTGTTGGTGAAGATCTTCCTTGTCATTCTTAAGCTGCTGCAAAGAAAAGGAGATGGTGAGTGAATGCTGGATACCCTTGGCTTTCATACAGGCTGCTTTTTTAGGGGCTCTGTAGCCTCTGGGCCAGTGGCAAGCACAGAGTGGTGGCGTTAGGCTTCTAATTTTTACCCTCCCTGGCTGGTGCTCTTGTCCTGCATGTCCTTCACAGATTCACCCTAAAGTCATGATCAGAAGTGTTAGAGATGCAACTGGATGCCAGAGTTCAGTAAGAACTTCACAAAGGAGATAAAGGAGTTTAATTCCCTTTTATAAGCATTTGGTGCTGCTGCAAGCCCAGCTTCTCCAGGCTCCTCAGGGTGTCCCTGCAACAGAATTCCCAACAGAAAACACATTGTCATCCCACCAGGCTGTGTGAGAGCCACACAGGCACTTTTTATGGGGGAAAGCAGGCAGACCCAGTGCAGAACACATCCATGCTTTCCCAGCCTCATTTCACACCTCCCTGGAGTCTGCACCCAGCTGGCCCAAGTTTGATGATTCCTGGCTGAAACTAAGCCAGGTGGACTTCACCATGGACCTTAGGAGAGCAGCCAGCCAACACCACAGACCTGTGTGACTGGTTATTTCTCCAGGGCTGCGCCCACCTGGTTCCCTGCCCAGCCCACAGTGGCTGCTCACTGCTGGTGCCACACTTTTCAGTCTGGCTTCTGCTTTAGCCTCTCAGAAATGCCAAGACTTAAACCGTAAGTGCATGAGGGAAAGTGTGATTCCTACAAAACGTGCTGGCATCCCAGACAAAACTGCTCCCCAGTAGCTCCCTGTCCACCCTCACAGAGCCAAGCAAAGGGAGCCCCATGCCCAGAGCAGAACTGGCAGGGAGTACTGAGGCAAGGGGTGCACAGTGATTTTAAATGCTGTTTACCAGAGAAATTGCCAAAAGTTCTTTTTGTTGCCCTAAACTGTTCTCCCACCACCATGGGAAACTGTCTTCCCTTCTCTCCCACAGAAATGGAGGAGTCTGTCTCCTGAAGCAGCTCTTTATGCCAATGGCACACAGACAATTGGAGCAGGGAAGAGCTATCCACAGCCAAGAGACTAAAGGACAAATGTTTCCACTTATCCTTTTAAGCATGTGAAAACCTCAGCTTTTTATACTCATTGGCAAGCCCTTCTTTAAAGTAGTAGTCCCATAAAGGGGAGGGGGGAGCAAAGGGAATAGCATCCTTCATCCTCAGGAAGAGGAAACTTTGGGATGACAGCCCAGCTGTGATTCTCTTTCCATCTGAAGCAGCCTTACACCATGTAAGACACTCGGGGTTCACCAAATTACATGGTAAAAGTCCAAGGGAATAAAGAAACACAAATGTGACTCACTATTACATTGAGATGCCCTGTCAGGGAGCCAAGGCAGGGAAGTTCCTGCCCAGCTCCTTCAAGTTCTAATCCATCATGGATTGCCAGCTGCCAGGGGAACACAGCTGCAGTACTATAAATCCAATTACAGCTGTGCTCAGAGATCTCTGGTCAAGGATGCAGCCAGTACTGGCACACCCCTGTATGCTGTAAATGGCTGCTCATGCTGACACAGGCTCCTCTTGACCCTGGCCTTTACATTGCTAATACATTTCTATTCTGGTAGAAGTCTGAAATTGCTGTCATATCTTTAGGGGATGAGAAAATTTTCTCATCAAAATGGCCTTGCTTCATGAAAGGCTCCTTTAGAAACCAAACCCTTATATTCCAGGTTGCTGAGAGTTTTTCTCATATTTTGTAGACTTACATTAAGACTCATTGCTTGACCCAAATGTGGATTATAGCTCTCTTTTTATTGATTTATTTTTAATTGTTCTGCTACTCCAAGTATCATTTTTTGCTCTGTGCTGTGGGAACAAACCTGCCTGGTGCTTTTCACCTACCTCAAACATGTTGCATGTACCTTTCTGACAAGAACACTGCCACGTCAGTGGTACAGATTTAAACATTGTCTTCCAGTGCTTCTCTGTACTGCAATGTTTTCAGTGCCCAAGGCAAAACTCTTGCCTTTAGAGATTTATTCTTCCAAGCAGCTGTTCAGATCCATGTGAAATGCAGAATGCCACCTGCTTCTTTCTTTGTCTTCTGTTTTGATTGAGTTTTTTTCTTTGCCTTTTTTTTTTTTTTTTCTGAAGAAGAAATACTTATCTGTACAAAGGTAGTTATTTTTTGTAACATAGGGAAAATTATTTGGGCTTCCTTGTTTCTTCTGATGGGTTGACTGGACTGTATTTTACCAAGCCTTTGGGGCTCTGCATGGTAATTTTGCCGTATGGGTCAGTATTCACTGGGTATCTGTTTACATCTCAGCTACAAATACCAAGAGAGAGTCTGCTTCTTGTCTTCCTCCTGCTGCAGACAGCCCCCTGCACAGCACTCCAGGAAAGCAGGTTAACACCCAGCCCTGGTGCTATGAACATGCCCTCTTGTCCTGTTAGTGGTGTTATTGGTGGAGAAATAAACCCAGCCTACTCCTTCAGGCTGTGCTTTCTTTGTCTCTGCACTCATGCCTTTGGAAAGGACAATGCTGTGTTTGTGGTCACAAGCCTTGTCAGCAAACAGATGTCTTTGTGAGAACAGCTCCTGCTTTACACTTCAAAAATGTGTGTTTATATTTCTGACATTTATTTGAGATCAGCGAACAATAGCTCCTTTCCTTTCCCAGTGCCTCCTCTTGCAGGGATAGCTCTATGGGGAGTTTTGTTTCAGGTGTAAGCCACCTCAGTATGTCTCTCCACCTGAAATTCTTCTCCTTTATGTCTTTACTGGTGTGGGTTTCCTCTTGTTGTGTTTGGAGTTTCCATTAGAAGCATAACAGAAAAATTATCCATGTCCAAGCCTGCAGTAATTATAATCTTTCAGCACAGCTTTTTGCTCTATTCACCTACACATCCCCTCTAGTTCTCTGTAACCACAGCACCTTCCAGTCAAAATGCAGCCAGTTTGCTGGCAAGGGATCTGACTTCCATTTCTTTTGTCTTGTTCCCCTCCTTCTTTTCCTTCCTTCTCTCCTACCCTTCTCACCAAACTTGTCTTTCAATATATTATTTGCAACTTCAGGTCTTTGCTAATTTTGCACAATTGAGCAATGTATTCTTTAGCTTTCTCTGATGCACTGTATAAAAAATATATGTCATCTACTGGTTGTGTGCTGCTTGTATCCCACTGGTCTCTTTTAAATTTGTGCAAAAATCACCTGTTTGCAGAAATAATGTAGGGATTTATTCTGTTAACCTGCAGGTTTGGACTCTGCTCGCCTTTCCTAAACACAGATTAACAGCCCCACATTTAGCTGACAATTAAAAATCCAGGAAGACATCAGCTTAAATTCAAGAGGATTAATTCTTCTCTCAGCAATGTAATTTTTAAGTTTACACTATTTTCACTGGAAGAATTGCTTTGAAGGACAAAAATTTTCACTAAGGAAAGTATTTAACTCAGGTCAAGAAGGCATGTCCAAAAGTAGGAGGTAAATGCAGTTTCATGAGCTAAGGTGCACATGTACAACACGTAAAGAGAATTATGCAAAGAAATAACCCAAACAAATCAGCTCCAACAGCCAGAAAGAGAAAAAAAAACCAAACAAACCAAACAAAGGAAATACAAGCCACCACCCCCCATCAAAAAGACAACTGAAACTCTTTGCACCCCCGGCCTACCCATTTGAAAAATATTAAAATGTGTGGCGGGAAGAACACTGTCTGCTTTAAATGCAGCAGCGAGTTTCACCAGACAAAAGACTGAAGGGCAGAAGAGATGAAGACCTCTCCCGGAGCAGCAGTTCTGCTCTCCATGCAAAAGCCTTTCACGCAATTCAGCCAGCAGCAGCAGCAGCAGAGCAGCTTAGGCACAAAGCACATCTCTGCCAGATTCCCCAGCAAATGGCCCCCAAGCCAGTGGTTAATGTCTGAGGGCTGGCAGGGGACTCGCCGGGAGCCCGACACTCCGTCATAATTAACAGGATGCCATTAACTAAAGATCTTGGAAGAGAAAGGTCCCTCCCTCAAGTTATACCTCTGACCTCGGTGAAGTTAAATCCATGTTGAAACTGGCCACTGGAGACCTGCTCCTGCAAATCTTAGTCAGACAGCAGATGCCTGCTGCCACCAAGAATTGGAGTGCTTCTAGTAAACCTGCGGTGCCACACCATCACTCCACAGGGGAAACCCACTGCCTGCTAAAATTGGTTATTTAACACATTGCACTGGATTTTGTAAAGTCCCCCCAGCCCTTAAGTAAATGGCAACAGAAGAGCAGATGGTGCCTGTTTCCTCTACCAGGCAGGTGCTTGTGAGCCTGGTTTGCCATGGGGAGCAGAGATTCCCCAGCTATCACTCCTTGCTGCTGTGCTTTGTTTGCTTTGCATCCCAGTGATTTGGGCAAAAGGAAAAAGGGGAAACTCAGCTTCCCTCTTCTGTTTCACACAAGCTCAAAGCATGGTGCTTAGCTTCATGCAGAGGGCAGGATTGAGCATGATCAAGGTATCACAAGACAAAACACTACTTATTGCTGACATGCAACTTCATTTTTTTTTCCCCCATTCCCTAAGAGGAATAGTCACTCCTTGAAGTTTAACCATTAAGAGTTTGCTGTGTGACTGCTTGGATTTCAGGGACTTTCTTTGGGTTGGAAGGGGAACTAAGGGCAGAGGGGACAATGAACCCCAGCCTGATGGATTGCACGGGGAGCAGCTCACGTCTAGGTACAGGCTCTTCCCCCCAGCTTTCCTCAGCTCATTCTCCCCATTGCTGCCTCCCTGTATCTCAGTGCTGACCCTTCCCAAAGTGCCTCCCCACCTGAAATCCCACAGGTGCATTGGTGAATAAGAATACATCTCAGTGCTGAGAGTGAATGCTGGCTCTCTTGCCTCAGGCAAAGTCCTTTTTCTTTCTTTCCCCTTGTTTGGTTTTTTTTTTTTTTTCCTGCACCTCCTTGACCCTCCTGCTCATAAACCTCTGCAAGATTTGTAGAAAAAAAAAATTTGTCCGTTGTATGTAAGGATTTGTGTGTTAGAGCAGACACAAGCACAGGGTGGCCCAGCCTCGTGGTGATGGTGTAATGAATAAAAGCCTGTCCCTGCATCCTCAGGGTGATTCCTTACACATCAGTGAACTTCATTTTATTTCACATAAGATGTGGGAAGAGGAACTTCAGGAGAAAACAAGGGCTCCTTTCTATGCCTCATGCCTCTGTTGGGAGTGTTATCTGACAATCACACCACAGAACACAGTAGAGCAGGGCAGCAAAAGCACTATAAAAACCAGTCCATGCTGACACAGTGATTTACCTTTTTTAGAGTCTGTAAATCTAGGACAAAATGCACATAGCAGAATCTCTGCTTCTGGGAGCTCTCCTGTCTAAGGGCAGCATTTACAAAAACTCTCATGGCCACACTTGTGCTCTCACTGAACCTTTAGAAAAAGGAAATCACTGGAGTTTTCAAAAGCAGCTATGTGAAGGTCTCAGGATAAGTAATCCTTCATTTTTGGGGTTACTACACTGCATGTGATCCCAGTTTCAGGGGCCAGGTCTTTCACCTGACCCAGGGCTGCCTCTGGGTTGCTGAGCTTTGTAAGCCAGCTCTCCTCCTGGAGGGTGCAGGTCTTCAGCAGCAGAGAGTTCTCTGCTTTCTGAGACAAAAAGACTCCACAGCATGCACACTGTGGCATCATGCCCTCTGGGCCTGTCTTGGCAAAGGAAGATCTGCAAAGCAATGAATGAGCTGCCCCCCAGATGGGGTTTGGGAGAGCACAAAATATGTGGCCAAGAACTTGAAGATAGTGATAAAGATGTAGTTCAAGAAAAGGTTACTCTGTACATGGGAGGAGGCTTTTTTGGGGTTTGGGGCTTTTTCTTCGTTGTTGTAGGGTTTTCTTATGTGGCTGCCTTCTGCTCAATACATTTTATGGTTCTTTGCAGAAAGATTAGTTATGCCACAGCTCTACACCAAAAAAATAAAGAACCCACTCAACAGCCTTTGCTAAATGGAGTTCCAGTGCATTGGCAGGGGCACGACAGCCTGCTAAGCTAAGAGAGGAACACTGCCAGAAGGTTTAGCCTTTATTTGCTGAAGTTGCACTTGTGTTATTTTCTGTTCCAGAGAATCTGAGAGTCTCTCTTGGAAAAGTGCTTCTCTGGCCTGAGTGCAAGTTCCTGTGGGTGTCCTTTAACAGCGGTCTCTGCCAAATTAACACCCCAAATACTACATAGAGACACCCTCCCCATGCTTTAAGGTAAACACAGAGAAGAAAAACAGTTTAGTTCTGTTGCAGGAGTTCTTCATGTCTCTCCATTTTTATTTTTTTTTTCCCCCCCAGACCCAGTGTGCAAAAAACCCTGTTCCACACTGATATTTCTCCCACCTCATCTCATCACTCATTCCTGCCTCCCTCTCTCTGCCATAACAAGGCAGGAGGGGAGCTGTGAATAGCAGAAAACATTTGCTCTACCCGTGTTTGTCAGGAAGTCCACATCCTCCTTCCTGGAAGGAAGGAGGTAAGTGAGGAGTGGGACCAGATGCTGCATGTCTTACGGCTCAGCAGACAGCAGTCTGCAGCAACCCACGCTGTTAGAGAAGTTGTTGGGAGCAGAAAGGGGAAAATCCAGGTCTGCAAAGGACATTTGCATCAGGGGGAACATAGATAATTATTATGTTTGGACATGGCCCCCAAACAATATTTGCTTTTCCGCTCTATCCAGGTCTTCAAATCTGTCACTGCAGCCAAAGCAAGACATAAGGTCTGACAGCACCCAGTGCCGAGCTCTGTCTTCCTGCCTAAGCCCAAGCCAGGCTGCAGACCACCTCAGGTCACACCAGTGCCCACTGTGCCTGAGGCCAGAGGTCACCATGAGCACAGAGGAACGTGGCCACCACAGCAAAATGTAGCTTTTGAAAGTCAGCAAACTGCAGCAAGGCAAGGAGCACTACCCCATTTCCCCCCAGATGTCTTGCCACCAACCTCTGTGGGGCTGCTCCTGAGAGAAACAGCAAAACAAAGATCATCCCTGCCTCAACCACCTGTGTTTATTCCACAGATTTCCTGTCTGGCATGCTGGCTCTGTGACTACTTCATTTCTTGGATCACCTGCTCCTATCCTTTACTACTGTAAAGGTCTATATAAACAGGCAGTAAAAACAAGCTGCCATTTATTTTAGGGTTTTTTCTGGTTGGTTAGCTTTGTGGTTGGTTGTTTGTTTGGCCTTGTTTTTGTTCTTTTTTTTTTTTTTTTTCCTGTGTGAAATAATATAGAAATGCATGGTGGAAAAAGATTCTGAAAATGAAATATTGTCCTGTAGTGTTACAAGGAAATTGGGAAGGATAGAGACAGCTACTTCAAAAGACATGCATGTTTTGCTATTTTATTAACTTTCTTAGGCAAATAGTTTTATGCAGAAGGCTACCCCTGGAAACAGTAACATATTTTATATTTGCAATTTCAAAAGTTTTTTCACAAATCCAAGAGATACTAATATTTAATAGAAGTGAAAATAAAAAAAAGAAAAAAAAGCTAAACTTTTCCTCCTAAGTGCACTGTTGAAGTGAGGAAAATTCAAATGCCTATATATTTTACATCTCCATCAGCTGTAACTCATATGACCAGTAAATTATGGGGATATTTTTAAATATGTGAGGATTGGAATTTAAAACTGATTCCATACCTTCACCTGCTGACACTGTCAGTGAATTTCCACACAGTCTAGTGAATAATTAGTACATGATTATTTGTGCTTTTACAAGGAATTTGTTTTAAATATCAAACAGCATTGGAGGATTCACTTAAGTATTAGTTCTGAGCTCAGGGAGTCTCTGATGCTCTGTTTAATCCTTTTGCACCAGTGCAATAACTGATTTACAGCAGTTTGCAGTGCAATGAATGAGTTTGCCTCATGTGTAATTATACAGCTGTAAGAAAATCTCAGAATAGTTAAGAACAGTGATTATAAAATCACTTTCATTTCCTCCACATCTCACCACCAACGTTTCTCTCAAAAGCAGTAAAACCAATCAATATTTTCTTTTGGTAAGGTCTGTGGATACTCGGAATTTGGAAAGTTCAGGAACAAACTGTCTCTTCACTTGATGAAGTGCGGCCACTTGTGAGTGGATGTTTGTCAGATGAGATGCCTTACTCTTAAATTTTTGGCGACAAGAACCAGAGATGCCGCAATGAGAAATGAAAATCCAGCAAATTGGTAAGAGGCCACTGCAGAAATCCCTTCCTTTAAGGATATTCCCTGCTTTGAGGGGAAATTTTGGCTTTTCTAAGGAAGCTTCAAGACAAGCCCAAAAGACGGGAGGATAGCTGTAAAGAGAAGAGGCCACTGTCACTTACTTTTCTGGTACTTGTGCCTCTGGAAACCTGGTTGGGGGGCGAACAGGCAGCAAAATCAGGCGCTTCCTGTGATTCTTTCCCGACTGCTTTTCCAGTGCCTGGCCACAGAGCTTGCTCTTGCTGGAGTCAGCCTAGCACTGGTCCCGGCTGCCTCATTTATAGAGTAGCAGGTCCTTTGTCTGGCGCGTGTCACCACTAGTCCTGGCAATCCAGGGAGCTTGTTTTGCATCTCCCGGGAGATTCTCTCTCTGTCTCGCCTTTCCTCTGCTCACCACATGCCCCCCTTGCTCTTTTCTGGGGCTGGTGTGGGCTGGTGGCTGGGTCCCTCCTTACCAGATTTTAGTCACTTAGCTCTGTGACTCTGCCTAGGTCAGGTGAACTTTGCAGCTTTGCAGGAAAGAATGCAACCAAGCATTAGCAATAAACTAATTCCCCCCTCTTTTTCCTCTTCTGTTTGGGGATTTTATTTATTTATTTATTTCTATATTTATTTATTTATCTGTTTAAATTTCACTTATTTATCCAGCTCTGAGCTTGCCAGTGTTTCCAGAGACCGATATAGCTCTTTTGAAAGCCCTCCTTAGCATGGCTCAGAGCTAAGGGACAGGCTGGTGTATTTATTGCCCTCCCAAGCGGGAGAAGCTCCTGCTCTGCTCTGCCAGGATGAGAGGCGTATCTTTGGGGTGAACATGTGCAGACAAGTGGATCCTGCACTCCCTTCTTTGGTGGACTGGTGCATCCAGCCTCACCCTTGCCCTGGGTAACCCCTCATTTACAGGTCAAACACTGGCCCAGGTTGCCCAGAGAGGTGGTGGGTGCCCCATCCCTGGAGACACTCAAGGTCTCTTTGGATGGGGCACTGAGCAACCTGATCTTATTGAAGATTCGGTGACCTTTAAATTGAAGGCTCAGTGGCCTTTAAATGTCCCTTCCAACCCAAACTAGTCTTTGATTCTATGAAAATAGCTATAAAATTGTCCCAGGCATGGCCAGCTAGCCTTACTGCAATCATACAGATCCTTCGGGACCTGTCCAATCCTTTCTGCTCCTCCATCCACTTTTCCATTAAGTGCTGAAAGTTTACTTTGGATGAATGTAAGAGCAAATAGGGAGAGCAAAAACAAGATACCTCCTTATGCCCTGGGGCAACAGGAAATATCCTGGGGATACAAAGGAGAACAAGGGGTGGGGAAGGAGAAGCCCCAGCTCATCACCCTCCTTTCATGGGGCAGGAAAAGTTCTGCACCCAGCTTTAGGCACACTCCACCACTTCCATCTGCCAAGTCCTGGGAGAGCTCAGCTATTACCCAGACCAGCTCACCCCAAACAGTGAGATGGCTCAGCAGTGCTCACCTATTGGGCTCTTAAAAGCACTGAGAATGTTTCAGCTCACAGCATTGCCCCATAAATATTAATAAGCCAGCGGTGGAATGATGCGGTTGCTCTCCGGAGAGATTGAGCCTCGGGTCCCTGCTGGGGCAGAGCTGCTCCCTGCAGAACTCGACTGAAGGTTCAGCCCTTTCACACGGTAAATTAACAGTGGCACTACAGCCTGAAAGCTGTGTCAACCGCTTCATTTAGCACAAGTGTTATGTTAACTAAAGGCCCTATTCCGGAGGGGCCTTTGGCCTCACAGAAGGCTAATTTCCATGTAATTTACATTAGAGTGTTGGAGAGTGCCCCTCCTCTCTGGTACTTCGTCCAATCTATTTTGTGCCCAAAACCTGACCTGAGATGCTCCAGCTAGCAGGCAGCAGTAGGGAAGGGGGCTTGTAAGGTCCGGGAAGGGAAGGGAACAGAAGCTCTTGATCCCTAACTGCTTGGATACTTCACTGCCTAGAGCTTTCAAAACCTGTCCAGACAAAGCACTATAAAATACACAATCAGGAAAGCTTCTTTCCTTGCAGGGAGAGGGGTAGGATGGGCTGCTTGTCATTCCCACTTGTTCATCCATTCAGGAGAGGGTGCAAACACGACAGCACTTTGTCTTGAGCTGCTGGGCACACCAGGACACACTGCCAGGCACTGGGCAGGAGGTCCCAGGTGAAAGTCAGCACTGGGAATGCTGATGAGATGGCACAGGGGTTGCTGACTTTTACACCAGCTTCAAGGGTCTTTTTCACCCTGTCAAAATGCTCTGAAGGGGTAGTACATCAGAGTCTTCACTGTGTCTTTATTAAGCTTCTTATTGAGCTGTGATTACTTGGCACCCATGAACCACGCCAGCCTCATTCATCTTCCTCTCTTTCTCTCATACTTGTCAGTGTCCTGGCAGCAGGGGGAACACATTACCAATCCATCCCTGCAGTCCTGGCATTACTTTTCCATGGATCAACCCATAGTTGCCAGGATAGTCCAGCTCAGCCAAGAACATTGGAAGCAACATTGCGCCTCGGGCTTGCTCCTCCTCACAAAAATCCCTGCTGGGACACATCCACCAGTTTCCTTGGAGTCTGGGGCAATTCTTTACCTGCAAAAGGTCTGGTCTTCAGCAGCCACCCATTACCAGTTCATGAAAATTGAAGAGGACACCAAATGCATCTTTTAAGGAGTGATTTCAGCAGGTCACTTCAGCCACCTCACCTCTGCACCACTGGCACCACAAACTGCTTGAGCTGGATGAAGAAACAGACTGAATGCTCTGTCTTGTGCAACTGTGTGACTCTGTGAAGTGGGATGCTTGAGAGCTGGCCACTTTGAAGATGTCAAGAACATGAGGGTGGCTGCAAAGTGTGAACATCTCAAAACTGGGTCACTTTTTGAAATCCAGCATGCCAGGATTAAAATTCCCTGAAGAAAACTAGGGGCATAACCCTCGCTGTTCCTCTTCCCAAAAGGAGGAAAAGCTGTTTCTGGCATAGGGGATTGTGTGGTGTGCCAGCAGGAGCAAAAGTCTTCATCCAGCTGCACAACTTCCAGTGACAAGAGAAGCATCTCCAAGACAGAGTGATGGTCAGATGGGCAAACAAATGTTTATGGTTCCCACTGAGCCAGAGCTCAAACTCTGTCTTTCTCTTACTTGCAATTGACCAGGATAGCAGAGGATCCTGCCTAAATATGAGCATATATTTCAAAGGGTGGGCCTGGATTCAAGTAATTTTTTCTGCTTTGGCCAAGGTGAGCCTGATGAGAGCAGCACACACAGAGTGATGGGCAGGAAAAGGACAGTGAGAGGCTGCAAACACACAGCTGGGTTATCACTGTGAGTTCAGAGCCCTGCTCTGCATATGGGAACAATAAGAAACAATTATGCACATCTGGGCTCCTGCCCTTTAAAATCATAATTTAGATTAATAGATTTTGAGTATATTGAGCTGGAGGAGGCTGCTTGAGGTTCAGAATAGCAGCTGCATGCAGACTGCTGAAATATTAAACTTTCATCATCTGAAGCTTTTTCATAGCATTTTTAATCTCTTATTAGTGTTAACAAAACACATCAGGGGGTGCTTTAAATTCTGGCCACACTTTCTGGCTTAATTCCAGAAGCCAAAAATCTTCTTTTTAATGCTGAAACTTGCTGATAGCATTGAAGAAAATGTTTAGCCACAGAATAAAGAGACTGAAAATCTAATGTGCCGCTAAACCTTTTCACTAGGAGCAAGGGGAAAGACAAACAGCTCATTTTCCACTTGACACAGATGCACCTCGACATTAAAAGTTCTTGGAAATCACCTAAAATAGAGGAAAACAAGCCAGGCATCTGCAAGGATAAGCAGCTGCCACTTTCAGGGGCACACAATGTGGAGCTCAGCCAGGTTGCATGCAGCAATAAGGCAACCACATCAGCATCACTCAAAACAGGGATTCAAAGAAATGTGAAGCTGAATTTAGGAAAATCTTTCTGACCAGACTAAAAGCCCCAAAGGGTCCTTGCCATAGGCATGCCTTCTACAACAAACTCAGAACTAAGGACAAAAAATTGTCAAGAGACCAAGAGATTTAATTTCCAGCACGACTTCAGACAAAACCCTCAACCCCCAGCCATGTGGATTTGATGTGTTGGAGATCTCCAGGATTTTCCACAGTCTGGCAAGTCCTCTTCCTTCATGTACAGGTCTTTGGAACCATGTAGCTTGCTCTTTGAAGTGAATTCTTGTAAGAAAGGGGGAATTTTGCTGTGAATCTCTCCAACATCTCTTGGTGCAGATTGCTGCATGGGGATGGCTGAGGTTGAAATCCTCGAAGGAGAGGTCCCAGGTTTGGTGCTTGGGGCTGCTCCTCTTACAGGACCAGCAGTGCATGTGTGTGCAAAGGGAGACTCCAGTGCAGCCAGCCTTTCAGGAGTTCATTATGATTACATATATTTCATATAGATCATTTCATATAGACAAAACAGATGTACTGACTATTCTAACTCTTACAGGTAGCTTTCTTCCTTCTCTTTTAAAGTTACTCCATGCTATTATTTTGGTGAATTATGTATGCCCATATTGCTGCCTTGATGATGGAGACTTGATACAGTTTCAAATTTCATTTTCAATGGCTTTGTTTCCATTGTTTTTAAGTACTTTCTGATAATTTTTTATCAATTTTGATCAATATTTTTTTAAATTATTTCTGAATTTTAGATGCACAGCTGGTGCAAAGGGATGAACTTTCATCAGTTACTACAGAGCAGTGCTGACTTGTAGCATGCAGGAATCATCCCATTACTCTTCTAATTCACCTGTATTCCACCACATGGCCGTGGTAAACACCCCTTTGCTTTCCACTGCCTCTACAGAAGCCAACAGCAGACAGAGAAAGGAAGAAAAGCTTCAAACAAAATTCCTCCAGGTGAGAACTGTGCAAGATGCATATCTGATCACCTGCATTTTCAACATAATTTTTCATGGTAAGGCAAAGCTCCTAATAGACCGGGGTGTTAGTTTTCCCCATCTGGCCATGAATATGAGCATGAGCTCATGTCCCAGCCTCTCACACCACAGCACAATGCAGCAGCTCCCTTGACACCAGAGAAGTCCTTGGTGTACACATCAGTGTGTCCCCAGCCAGACTGTGTCTGTCACCGGAACCCTGATGTGTCCTGTGACCTGCTGGACCCATCAAACCTGCAGGGTGTTTGTACAAATTTTGAACAGCCCTTGAGATGGCTTTGCCTACCCTGAGTGAACAAGATGTG